AAAACCCAAAAAATTCCCTGCTGTAACACCAAAAGCACACTTGAGAGGATTCATCTTCAAACCATGCTGTCGCATTCTTTCAAAAGCTTTCCTCAAGTGCTCCAAATGTTCTTTATCCTCCATGGATTTAACAACAACATCATCGATATAAATCTCCATGAAGCGGCCAATCATATCATGGAAAATTGCATTCATGGCCCGCTGATATGTAGCTCCTGCATTTTTCAACCCAAACAACATCACGACCCATTCATACGTACCTATGTTTCCAGGGCAACGAAACGCCGTTTTACTTATGTCTTCCTCTGCAATAAAGATCTGATTATAGCCACTATGCCCATCCATAAAAGATAAAATGCGATGACGTGCAACCCCATCAACAAGTAAATCCGCTACTGGCATGAGGTATTCATCCTTTGGCGTGGCTAGATTTAAGTTCCGAAAATCAATGCAGACTCTGAGCTTTCCATTCTTCTTCAGTACTGGAACAATATTAGACAACCATTCTGAGTACCTGGCTGTTCGTATAAAACCAACTTTATGCAGCCGCTCCACTTCTTCCTTCACCTTCAAAATCACTTCTGGAGACATACGGCGTGGCGGCTGTTTGTACGGCTTATATCCTTTGTTGATTGGTAGTCTATGCTCTACCAACTCTCGGTCTAAACCTGGCATCTCAGAATAATCCCAGGCAAAGTAGTCTTTGAATTCATGTAGTAAACAGATTATTTTATCTCGCATCTCTGGCGGCAGCAAGCCACTGACAAAAGTAATGCGTGGCTCTGCCTCCGTTCCCAGATTAACTTCCTTCAATGGATCTTGTACATCAGCCCTGAGGTCATCCAGCTTTGCAGGGGCCAGATCTAACTCCTCCATTCTGACTCCGTCGGTATGGATGTCTTCCTCACCTTCATGTACCACCTCCGACAGATTTGCTTCTGTATTTCTTTCAGCAAAATAGGCCGTTAATTTCTTTAGAATTTCAGATACGGCCTCCCTTCTTTCTTTGTTTATTCTGGATTTCTTCATAGTAACTCCTCAATTTTGAGCTCCTCTTGCGGCCTATATGGAATAATGGCAGTGGGCCGCAAAAGTTCATTGCATACCTCGTCAACCACATATTTAGCCAAGGTAGGCTTGTTGCAAGCAGTGATTCCGCGAGGTCTTCCTTGTCTATCCATGCCGAAGAAACGGATGGTTCCTACGTCTTCATCATAGTACCATGCTTCCACCATATTGGAATTGGCTAAGAATGGTTTGTTGTCAGCATAGACCACCTCAGTTTTGCCTCCATTCCAAAAAATGAGTCTTTGATGGAGAGAAGATGGAACACACCAATTCGAATGGATCCAATCACGTCC